AAGTCGTGCGCCTGGTGGTAAGCGACACGCCCATCCATAAATGTTGATGTACAATTCAGTGCTTTAAATCGCAAAGATCTTCTGGGCACTGCCACTGCGCCTGTCACCCTGAGACATAAGTTGACAAGTCCCATGTGCCACCAGCACCCTTACGCTTCTAGACCGGAACGCAGTAATGCTCACATTTTTTTTTGTTGCAGTACAGCAGTGCAGTTTGCTTTCACAAAGTAGGCACATTGTGGTTTCGTGTCCTGTTTTAGAATAGGTAGATTGAGCATACGATATGACCTACATATAACTGGAATAAGTAGATATATAGTACATTCCTAGGTTTTCAAGCAGTGTACAAAACAAATATCAAGAAACAAAAGGGAATCTTTTTAAAGAAATGTGGTGCTATTACCCCAAATTTATCAGACGCACACGTTGTGTGTAATAAAAGAAATTTAGCCAACACACACCTGAGACAAGGCGTACAAACAACAATACACGCATATTTTTGTGTTACTTTTACAATTTTTTCTTTTCTTATTTTAGATATTATGTAGATTGCAGGGCTGTCGTTTTTATATTGTGATCGTGAGCACGAAACACTTCTTAAAATGAAAGTGCCCATTTTATTCTCTTGCATTCTTTGTTTTGAAAACTTATTAAACCTTTTTTTAATAACATTTCTTTATTCACTGTGCTTACTTCTGAAAATGTAGAGCGCAGTAAATCAATAAAGTTGATGGAATACTTGTGTAGTACGCTTCTCCCCTGCAAATACACACATAAAAAGTATCAAAGGATCAATCATGTTTTTGCTAATTATTGAAAATCTGGATTTTTAATGATTTATTTTTATCACTAATGAATTCTTTTTGGTCAATTTCATTTTCAACTTCAAATTATAAAATTCACCCAATAAATCCATTGATGTCATTGACTTATTGATGTTAATAAATTCAATTAGAAAAACCTGATTTTTTTATGTGTGACCTACACGAGACACGTTCGATCCAATACTTAGAATGTCGTAAACTTCAATGTCATAGAGTTACATTTAAATATAAGATCATTGATTTAAATATATTAATAAGCAAAACAATATCCATAGTCAAAGCTATTTCAGAATAAACTGATCCTTACATAACGCTCATTTGTCGGCTAGTTGTTACCTCAAATCCGTGGGTCTGAGTCCGACATAAATCATGTACTAGTAGGTATATGAAGTGAATCAGCGGAAAATAGTTTGCGTAGAAAGACCCATGACTGTGAGTTTTAGCCTTAGAGGATAGAAAAAAATTTTGCCGCCTTTTTTTGCGAAACAACATCGTCTGTCATCATGACAGAATAGTGAATCTGAATTAAACCGGCCATACCTCTGGCGGGCGGCCAAACAACGAATTTTGTTGTTATGGTAAAAGAACTTTATTTTATTATCTATAATCAGTCGCCAGAATGTAAATAAATTTTGTACGGCTTAATTTGGCGTTTGAAAGCGAGGAAACAACCGCTTAAGCCGCTCTTAGGGTCGTATTCCAGAACTCTACTCAATACTCAAGTCAGGACTTGAGTATTGCAGTGAGCACTGAAAATCATACTCAAGTTCTTGCCATTAGGGTCGTATTTCCAGTGCTTTGAAATCATACTCAAGTCTGCTCAAATCCTGACTTGAGCATTGACTAGACTTCTGGAATACGACCCTTAGTCATTGAACACAAATGCGTTCGTTTTAGTCTCCTTTTGTTGCTACCAACCAGCTTTAGCTTTTGCTTTAGCGAGAGGATTCATATGAGTATTGAGGAGGCCTCTGTGTTTTCGTCTATACAGCCCATCTCTTCGACAGTCGTTGGAACCTCCAGATATTCGTGAATTTCTGTGTTCCTGGTGTACAATGTGACACCACTGATAGTTCAAAAGATGTAGTTTTGGACTCTTTGGAGGAGTTGAATATTTCATTTGAAGGCGGTGGCTAATAACTGAATACCGTAAACCCACATTGGCTTCAGTAAGGCACAGTACACCACGAGCTTGTTACTGAGAAACAGGGAAGACTGCCGACCCAGAAACCATAACAAATCTTTGGATCTGTAATTCAGTTCGCCTCTTTTGCGCTTTACATGTACTTTCCAGGTAGACGGTGGAAACCCGGGCATTTTTACTTAAACTTTTACATTTTGGATATATTATTCAACTTAGCCGGGTGCAAATTTATAGCAAAATTTATCAGCTTCACAACCCGTATCTCTACAGGTCATAAATCAAAAATTGGGACAAGGGATGAATTTAATGTGAACCCAGAGGCTTACACTAAACTTATAGACACACTACCTACAGAAGTACCTACCGTGGTTATAGATTAAATTCATATTTTCTTCTAGAAGATGAATTAATAACTCCACATTGAAAGGTAACTTTGTATTTATACTTTATTAAACCAACTAGCCTTGACGATCTCAGGAATACGAATTTGCATGAGAAATTCAAATTCTCAACAGGTGATAAATAACTTTGTAGACATTCCCAATAAATATATAAATAAATCAAAGCGAAAGCAAATATTTGGTCAACAATTCGCTCACCGAAATTAATTTCGTTCTCGCCCAATATTCAGACGGAAAGATGTATTCTAATTTATGGTCAGCAAATAATCGTTTGCCACGATTTTATTACTTACTGCTCTTCTCAATTTGGTGATTGAGGTTATCAAATATCCAGTGACGGTCGTAGAATGGAGACGAGCATTGGTTATACTAAGCTTTTTTATAGAATGCAACGTAAACATGAAAAAGATTTTACACGTCATATACATTACTTACCAAAGCAAAACCAAAGTAGTACATTATTAAAAGGGTTTGCGTGGAGTACCTACCCCAAGACTCAGTCTTAAACCCCACTAAAAAAAATAAAGGAAATGAACATTGTATAGGTTCTGTTTAATTATTTTATTGACTCGTAGAAAAAGTATTGTATGCATTACATAATTAGGTCTTGAAATCTCGTACCTATTCCTTAGACCACTCGGCAAAGCCTCGTGACCTAAACACGGTCCTCGGCTGAACCGTCATTATGCAACGATTGCATAAAACACTATTACACGTAATAAGCATTGGTAATATACTTACATTACTTACCAAAGCAAGACCAAAGAGTACATTATAGTAGCATTTGCGTGGAGTACCCCAAGGGTCAGTCTTAAACCCCACATTACATGTATTCAACGAGGGGTGAACCATTTTTTTTTAATACAAACATTGAAGATTCAGTGTGTTTCAAAATAATAAACATTTACAGAATAAGTCTCTTATATTTAATTTTCAAGTCAAGATCACATTGATTGGGTTTACTCGTGGACTACACTCTGTATCATTAATTTAATGAACACCAAAATGTTTTAAAGTTACATAGTAAGTTTGAGAACTCTAGTAACTAACAAGAAAATATTATACAGCTATTAAAACCACAACATCGAATACATTTAGTTTCGTTACAGGTAGAGTCAATGGAATATACTGTACACACTATAACAACGTAATATGGCAACGTAGTACTAGAGTACTATCAGTAATGTAATGTAATGTGCGTAGACTAGACTCTACGTACATTACATTTTTAACAGATCCAAAATGCCTGCGAACATTTATATTGAAATATAACAAAGGAACTATTAACTAAAAAAAAAACTAATTTATATTTAATTAATAAATGTCAAGTGATGGGACAAACAAGTCGTGCGCCTGGTGGTAAGCTACACGCCTGTCTATAACAAGTACAGTGCCACTCAAAGCTTTAAATCGCAAAGATCTGAGGGGCACTGCCTCTGCGCCCGTCACCCTGAGACATAAGTTGACAAGTCTCATATGCCTGTAATTTCATCAGCACCCTTACCCTTTACAAAACCGAAACACAGTAATGCTGACATTATTGCTTGGGGGCAGAAGTAGGTAAGGTGGCAGTACTTCCCTGGAGCTCTACTGCTACTAAATTAAAGCCAATGTCAAAACTGTCAAATAATCCTTTTACTTATGTGTTACTAATTAACGCTTGAACATTTGAAATACGTAACTATCGTAAAAACTTTAAATGTTAATGCAAAATACTAACATCCATTGCAGTCGGTACGACAGTTCATATTCTAACTGCTTTTTGCAGTCTCTAAATTGAAAAATTACGCTACAAACTCTACATCAATACGAAAATAATACGAATATTTTACTATATTGCGTATTAATATCAATAATCCTATTTGTTTTGGTATTTTTCTCATTAAGTGTTAAAACTACAAGCTATTGTAGAAAGGGTCCAGTTATGGTGGTTCTTACATCAATGATATTATTTACGAGTATGAATGGGACTTTTATGTATTAAAAGTAAATATTGTAACTACATCGGCGATTGCCCTGTCGCATTTAGAGAACATTTTAATTGACAAATCATCAAATTTTCCAAAGATCGGTATGGACGCTGTATATTTAACATTGACCTTTACCTGACGTGGCTAATATGTAATGACGTAATGTATGTAATGACGTGGCTTCTGAAATGACAGAAGTATTGCATTTTGTTTATTTTGATGTATATTACAATTATTTACTATAGTTGTGTATTTAGTGTATAAACTGCCGTAGAAATCTTTGTGACTCCTTGGGACGATCTTGTTCGTCCACGTACGTTCGTACGTATATCTGCCGCCAAGCGGTATTGTGAACATTAACTGCGTTCCGGTTTTGGAGGGTAAGGGTGTTGGTGAAATCACAGGCACATGAGACTTGTCAACTTATGTCTCAGAGTGACTGAACAAACTCTTGTTGTATAGAGCGCCTTGTGAATGAGATAGTCGAGGAAAGTACTGTCACCTTACCTATTTCTGCCGCCAAGCAGTAATGTGAGCATTACTACATTCCAGTGTCCCTCAGATCTTTGCAATTTAAAGCTCTCAGTAGCACTACACCTGTTATCGATAGGAGTGTCGCTTACCACCAGGACGACTTGTTCGACCTGTCACTTGATATCATAAAAAAAGAAAAGCTTCGTAATTGTAAGTAAAAACCTTTTATTTTTTAGAGAGGTATTATGCACTCTATATGTATTACTTAAAGTTTAGGTATATATATACTATACCTTATTCTAATCTCTGGTACGTGACCTTGAATTTAGATCTAGTAAACAACGTATTGACCACAACCTGACGGGATTGACGCTGGTTCATTGGTCATTCTTTAGGGTTTTACGGCGTAAATAAACACGGCAACTTACGATTACACAGTCATCCACTGTACACATTAAGTAAATTCATTACGAGAAAAATACTGTTTTGTATTTTTCTGGATAGGCACTTTTAATAAATTAGTGTTACACTTGGAACTTGACCATGATCATTAAAACATCTTGTGGCTCCTTCAGAAACTCTGTAACGGAACCCTAATCTATTTATATTCTTTTGAATTCTTAATTATGCGAATATTAGAGCCTATGCAGGCAGAGTATTTTAAACGAAGCAACTACACGAAATAGAATTTCATGTAGTTGCTTCATTTCAAAAACTAACTGAAATTAACAAACAAAGCTAAAATTAAAACTATCACATATCAAAATGCGCGATACATACGCCGATAACAGCGCGTATACGCGCAGATGACGCGGTGTACCGTGTTACGCACCTGGTCGGCGGGTATAAAATACGCCGTGTGCATAAGTTCTTAATAGTTCGGGACAAGAGTTCAGTTTCTAATCTTTTAAAGATCACACAAAAATAGTAATATAATTATAAACCTCAAAATACTTATAAAATAATATTTAAATTGAATCAAATAATACGAGTTATAAAACATAGTAACAAATTACCAATTGATCACTGCGAAAGATGCTTTATTAATCTAACACGTGACCGTGTTTACAATATAAAAAAGGTGTTTACAATAAGATCTGACAGATAGCAATGTATAAATATACAATTTTAAAAAATCTCTCGCAAAAGTCACTACAATGGAAACATTCATTCTAAAGCGGCAGCAGCGTTCGTAGTACTTGACTCCAATTCATCCGAATCTTTAGCACTCGACTCGATTTCTTCCGACTCCATTTGATCTGTATTTGAGTCTGGAGGTGCTAGCTGCACCTCCAGTCCTGTTTCCATTGTAGCTTGTATCGTGTCCTCTTTAGCTTTGCCTTGTTTATCTTCGCCTACGTGTCTGCCTTTTCTTTCAGTCTAAAATGCAAGTAGTACACATTAGTAATACCTAACAAAATGATTGCACAAATTTTTTAAAAAAGGTTTTCTTTATAAAGTGACGGGACGAATAAGTCTTGCGCCTGGTGGTGAACGACACGCCTATCCATAACAGTTGCAGTGCCACTCGGAGCTTGAAACCGCAAACATCTGAGGGGCACTGCCACTGCACAGGTCACCTTGACACATAAAATTGACAAGTCCCATGTACCTGTATTTTCACCAGCACCCTTACCCTTCGGTTTTGAAAGCAGTAATACATTACTGCTTGGTGGCAGAAATAGATATGTTAGCGTTACTTCAAAGATTTCTAATGTCTTGTGTGCAATTGACTATAATTTTAAAAGACAAGATATAAACATTTGCTTTTACGGTATTTCTTTATTTAAGTACAGTTAAATATTACATAAGTTGTGGAATTTTAAAAATCTTATTACACACACTCTATATTAAAAAATCAACTCTATTATGACCACATCAAGGGGATAATTACCCCTTGTTCAGCCTCTGCAGTATCCATCTTACTGCATCTTCGTGTATTTTTGGCCAACCGTTTATTGTACTTCTTTTCGAACTTAATTATGAAGTCTGCTTGGTCTGTATAATTCTCCGGCTTATCTAACTCATATGCTGGGGATATTTTGATATCTGCAATAAGAGAAAGATTATTTAAAAACCAAATTATAATGACAACAGTTTATAAAATGTGTACAATATTACAAAAAAATATTTTATAAAAAAAGAAACTTAAGAAACAAGCTTTTCATTACTAATTTCAACTACGCGTGATCAAGTTAATATTGAACCGCGCTATATCGCATTCAGTGTGCGGATCTGTTATTGTTTTATTTAAAAATACTATTAAATGAATTGCGTTATTGGCAAATCTATCACGAGAAAAACTAGCTAGTCGTACTGTATAATGAAGCAGTAAACACGGACGTTCGTGTTTACTTAGCATAATTAAAATAGAAAATAAGAAACTTTACGAAATAACTAGCATGTTTTTGGACTACAAATTATATAGAGGGTTATTTATGAAATACTAACAACCTCGTAGGACTATATAACTAACATCATAAACAGCAACTTTAGTTCTTTTTAAAATTAATTATTAATTATATTCAAGGAAGAAAACAATGGAAGTGCCCTAACTATCAGAACCGCTGTCGCCCAAACTCACAGAAACATAATTACGTTAAACACTGAAATTTTGATAATGATTGGTCGTAGTTTCTTATTCAAAAACATGTAACAAATTCAGGACAGTTGGCATATTCTTGCAAGTTACGATCTTTTGATTTTATATTGAAATTTAATTCGATGTGCTGCCATCTAGCGGCAATTGCTGGAAGACTATGAGAGGACGAACGAGAAATCTACTATAAAATAACAATGGAAAATTTATTCATTTATTAACATAAAATAAGACTTAACAATGACATGAAATAGCACCATGGATAATATAACAGGTGCGACTATCATTTTTGCACTCCAAAATAGCAAAATAAGGCAATTCTCCACAATTTTTGAGGTTTTGCGTGAGATAATTGACACGACCATGACCGACAAAGCGAAAATGGCGGACTGAGCTCAAGTATGTGGAACTGCGTGCACTGTTGGCACACGTGCCGCACCCTCTAAGCACTTTTGTTTTATTTGTTCTGTGATTATGATGCTAGCCTAGGTTATGCGTCTGTAAACTGTAAATATATGTTATTAAATTACCTTCTCCTAATACTTCAGGCACCATAAAAGGGTATAGCCACCCCACTAATGGGGTCTGTCCGGCGAAATAGTGAGCTCGTTTATGATAAAACAGCAAGCCGTCTAATTGAGGGATGTGGTTCTCAAACGGCGGGTACGTTTGCAAGAAACTGAAATTATGGGAATTTGTTCATTTTTCATAAGAAAGATTATTAAAAAGTTCCGTAGTTATGCATTAAATATATGCATTATACAATTATCAAGTAAGAAACCATAATAATAGTAACTAAAGGAATAGAGTATAAGTATTTAAGTTTGTGAAAGACAGAAGCCAGGTCTCGATCGCCCAATGATAAATTTATCATAATTAATGATAATCTTTTTACTTTTAGTCCTTCGATGTACATTCCAGAGCATGTCAATTTACACTCTGGATTTTGGACGGTACTTATTGCAATCGGCATAGAGTTGAATTAAAATCTTGATTGTCAAACTTGACAAGTACTTGATCCTGTTAGTGGTTAAAGAAATAATGTTTATTGCAAACTCACATTAGACTACATTTTTATACATAATAAATATAAATATACATTTTTGACAACCTGCAAATGAACCGTTTATACAATATGACATTACTAGACACTCTGAATGTGAGACTGGCCTTGAGTTAGACGATTATTGGAAATTAAACTAATTTTCTTTATATAAATTGCGTGTATTTATTTTATCTAACAATCAACGTTTCGACGTGATCATGGGACCTATAAAGAGTCGGAAACGTAGATAATTACTAAAATAAAAATACTTTCATTTCTAAGACAGACAAATTATTCTTGAACTTTTATGTACTTATTTACTTACTTATTTAAGGACTCTGTATCACAAGGAATCTTGGGAAGTATTTTAAATATAATCTGGTTCATCCTGCTAATGACCTTTAGGCCAGGTAACTCCCCCAGATGAGTTTGGAGCCAGTAATGTCTGAACTCAGTCTGAAACGTAAAAAAAATACATTTAGATGTAATAAAAGGATAATATTCATATATGTGTACATAGAAAGCTTTTGACAATAAAAACATATCAATAACAAAAAGAAATTCATTTATTTTCCTCTACACAAAAATCCTTAACACTTGTACAATGTCATGTTTGTGTTACTGAGTTGCTAATATGATTTTTATGAGAGACTATTGGCATATAAAAAACTGTGTTAAACGTGATGACACAGCTTCCACATAAAAATTGTTATTTTTTTATTTATTAACCTATATTATACTGACAATTCAATTATATTGACAATTGTATTCATATATCAATAGATTAAGTTGATGTTATAGATAACATCAGCGCATCTTGAAGACACATAGGTCTCCCCCAGCTCTATCCATCTGGCTCTGTCCCTTGTCAGCCAAAAATTATTATAGTCTGGTATATATGAGTCATTCTCTGCTCTATGTCAATAACAATCTATTGCACTTTAATTGATAAATAAATCTAACAAAAATTGTTTTTGCTGGTAAAACATCAGTGGAACAGGATCTCCTTACCTCTCCATCAGTCATAGGCTGACAATTCCAAGCCAAAATATCCAATACAAACATAATGCGATTATTGTCATAGTAAAAACAGTCTAGTACACAGCAATTGTTCTTCTTCTTGTTCCAATTAGGGTTGCCACCTGGTAATGCCGTACATCTCTCGAATTTGAAACTTCCGTACTTTGTGTAGCACTTTGTTCGACCCTAAAAATGTAATGTCACATGTTAAAATGTAATAACTAAAGAAATCTTTTAAAGCCATCATCGAGTATAGAACCAGAAATAGAGACGAAATAAGGGCCATATATTCCTGGTAACTCATTAGTGATACATATCTTATAAATATCAACTCTCATTTGCACTGAAATATAGACAGGCCAACAACTGACCTGTGTGTTCATCTCTGTGTATTCCAAAAAATATTCTGTATTTATTGTAATAAAAATAACATCTGTAACAATGCCGTGCTGTTCTATTCGGTGGTGTGGGAAAAACAGCAAAACATCTAATTACAAAACAAACAGAATCAAATTTCATCAGTAATTAAATATGTAATTTTTCAATTTTCGCCCATTATAGCATAGTTCAAGTTAAACTGGTTGATTTGCAGTGAAACAATTGACAACACCCATCAACTGTTTCAAATCATTTATGCGTCTTGCTTCCACCTAAGGCAACACCCATTACGTCATCTCATTCTATTCATTGGGGACACCTTACTAGTGTTGCACTGAAAAAATCATATCATGTATCGATATTTGCAAGATTAATTATTACTGTATAATGATTTATTTAAACAATCAGTAAAGTAAAAAATCTACATCTAACGTCGTCGTAGTTAAGTATTGAGTCATGAGTGTAATGTATCGATTTTATAAGTATGTCAGATTACGCACAAGAAACTAACTGTTACGTGATAGATTGTCGTTCGTTTTTATTGCTCAGTAAAATGGTTTTTGTTTGAGAATATATTTATATATTTCACTTCTTACGGGCGTGTAGTGTTGGTCTAGCATAATACCATCCCATATCTTTCCATGGATGTCTTTTCAACTTGTTAGTTAAGGTAGAAAGCCATACTCCCTGTTATAACAACAACAGGAAATAATTGTTTGCAGACAAATACACACAGCTCTTTCGAATTAGGTGGCTATTAATTAACCAATCAATGAATAATCAGTCTTTAGTGATTTGATGAGAAGACCCTAGGTTCAATTCCTGGTAGGAATGATTTGAGAAGCCAATTTATCTTGTTGCTCTTGTACTCATAGTACAAGTGATTTGAGACCGCTGATTGGTGTAGATGCCTGGAATTTTTATTATAATCACTGTATTTAGCCACATGAAAGCCTATTTAATATTATTATTGAATTTCTACTATATATAATATTATATCTAATGAAAGCAGGTCTGAGGAAGCGAGATTACGCAATCATAGACCAAACTGGTTACAGGTGTCAACATACCGTAGCTCTGCTGTCCACTAACTAAAACATGGCTAAGTGACATGTGGTCAAATATATGTTTTAAACACCATAAGATAGGGCTCAAAATTCTCTATTTCAAAACAGTCAAACATAGTGTATATATCGGAACTTACCGTAATGATGCTTAGCTACAATATCTTTAAACAATTCCAACGTTGTAAAACCGGTTATTGTTTTTTTAATTTTTAACTGCCTCTCTGGCCGAACGGTTACCATACCGGACTGCCACGCAGAGGTCCCCGGGTTCGATTCCCGGGCCGGGAGAAATATTTGTATGGCCTACATTTATTTCTCTCGTGAGTTTGGGTGTAATTTGTGGTTGTCTATGTGTGTGTCCATGGCACCCGCGACACAGGGTTTCCCTAGTGCGGGGCTATGTTGAGTGTGTGCGTTATTATTATTATTATTATTATTATTATTATTATTATTTAAGACATCTCAAAAAATATTTTGTCACATAGCCGCATTTTAGTTAATGTATGGCTGAGCCACGCACAGCACTTACATGATTGGAGACAACAAGCACCCTGACTGCCTTAGGACATGGCACCATATACCAGTTATCAGCAAAGTCAAATGGTTTCTCAATCATCCACTCTGAGAGCATCAGCACATTGCTGTAATTTGTAGGGGTTCTGTGGAACCCTGCTACATAAATATTTGGTCTGTAATATGCCTGTAAAAGAGTTTTGTATAAGTTCTTTTTGCCTAAAAACTATTCAGCTTGAACTTTTTGAAATTAGCGTATATGGATTCATAAGATTATAAATGGTTAACTAATTATCTATAGCAAAGTAACTGGATCCCTGTGATAGGAATTAATTTAATTATAGGTGAGATTTCTTTGCTCCAACTTGTTCTTTCAACTCGCAACGGTTTTTTAAAAACACAAATTTAATGACAATCATAGTGTTATGTGAAGAAACTAATGTCTAGGCAGTATGGTCTCTGACCTTCGCCTATTCCATATGGAACGATGGAAAGTAAAGGGAAAAAATATTCACCTTGTTTTTATTGTGAAAAATATTTTCTTCTTCTGTTGTATTTACCAGGTCTAATATGCCCCGGCACAGGTCCAATTTAGTGTTTCTATTACTGAAAAATGAAGGGAACTATTAGGGAATATGTCGAAAGTACATAAAATGTAACAGGTGCTTATAAAAATTGATCGAAGATAACTGATTTTATCAAAATAATAATACTAACTAGGGCAAAGCTAAAATACTCTGTCAATATTCTACTTATGAACACAATTTTAAAACAAAAACAATCGTAAAACACTGAATATAAACGTAACTTAAATACCTACCTCTTTTGTACTTCCAATATTTCGCGTCGACGTTCTTCCTGATTCCCTAGCTTACCCCAGTTTTTATACAATCCTTCGAAATTGGATTTATCCTCTTCCGTAGGCTCTTTACTTATCACAGCGTCACTAAGTTTTTCAACTACTTCTTCCATTTTTTCCTAAAAAGAGAATTAGAAATTAAATTCAATCAATACATGCCGCGCGCTGCCTCCAGTGACATTGACAGCATTGAAGTTTGACAGTTGATCGTTAGAAACCTTAGAGGATGGAAAAAAATAAAAGAATAGTAAATTAAAGTAATTAGTAATTATTAGTAAATTCCATAGTCTAAGTTAGAAACAGTACGCATGAATAAGAACAAATAAGATAGTGCCATTTATTTTGTGCTTTGAGTTTTCCGTCTACCTTACTACAAAACAAATTCGCCCAAAAACAAAACGCGCTTAAAATATAAAAAAAACAAGGAGGATTCGCTCTGGACCTTTTGGAGGGAAAAGTGTCGTTTTTATTTTGACTTTCAATTATTTTGTGAAATCCAGTTTAAAATGGAATAGGATAGCGCTATTGTGCCTTAATCGAAGATTAAAACGCGAAATTATACGAAACTCGAACTAGAATACCCGTATCGGCCTGTTTTAAGGAATCCCGAGTCAATCCAAGCACGCCCCGCCTCAAATTGCCTATCCTCTTTGGGGCGGCCATATTTACAGAAACATAATTAAACTTCATGTTTAGGCTGATGGCTTTGCCAAAGCCTTAATAAATAAAATAAAAAAAAACAAGGAAAAATGGAGAGATGGCGGGTTTTTGTAATTACAGATTTTACACGTATCGTGTTTTAGTTTTTGAGTTTCTAATTAATTGTTACAACAATTTAAGCTGATGCCTCTGTATCCAGTGCTCAATAAATAAATAATAATGGTTTCAAAAACTATGAAATATATGGCGGGTTATTGCTTATAATAAATTATATAATAAATTATACATATAAAAAGGGTGTCATTCTTAATTGCGAATAACACTATTTCGACTCGACAGTACTTCGACTACACAGAAATTCGGCGGAGTACTACTTCGACAAAACATAATATGTTCGACAGGTCCGACAGAACGAACATTGCTTCGACAACGCAAACATTCGAGGTCACTATTCCGACAGAACATGAAATATTTCATATAAATATTTGCTGTACTGACAGACTTTTTAAGGACAACTTTATTCTTGAGCGGAATATCTCATATACGTAAATATGTCTGAGAAATAATTAATAACTAGTTAAGCAGTTATTTGTCGATTTTTTTTCTATCGGAATCATAGATTGTGGGTACCTATACACTAAGGGTCGTATTCCAGAACTCTACGCAATGCTCAAGTCAGGGACTTGAGTATGATTTAAGCACTGGAAATACGACTGTAATGGCAAGAACTCGAGTATGATTTTCAACGCTTAAAATAATGCTCAAGTCAGGATTGCACTGGAAACACAAGCACTGGATATACGACCCTAATGGCAACGACTTGAGTATGATTTCGAGTGCTTTAAACCATACTCAAATCCTGACTTGAGCATTGAGTAGAGTTCTAGAATACGACCCTAAATCTATGATCGGAATAGTGACCTGTAGAACATGTGTTTTATTGAAGTAGTATTCCCTTTAGTGTTCCATGGAATTTGTAGTGGAAATACTGTCGAGTCGAAATAGTGTTATTAGAAATATGGGTGCAATACGCACACACTTCACATACTTAATAATTTTAAGTTTTTGTTTATAATTTTTTTAGTTTTATAATTATTTGTTACCTTCATAAGCTGATGGCTTTTCATCCAATGCTAGTAATATATTATGTTATAAATTAAATTATTTAAAATCTAAAAAATGGCGGGTCTACACTTTTACAAGGATTTAATTTTTAGTGTAAGTTACATTACATTATGAATTTCTTCATTCTTTGTTATCTTTTTGAGCTAGCTTTTTAGCCTTAATAAATGAATTATTATAATTTGAGCTACATTATATAAACTCAATTTCTTGGAGATACCTACTTACATTTTTGTTGAATTTGAAATTTAATAGGATACGAATGATACAGAAACGTCATCACCATTAGGAGAAACAGTGTTTTTATTATTTAGGCTATTCCAGAAGTCTACTCAATGCTCATGTCAGGACTTGAGTATGATTTACAGCACTAGAAATCATACTCAAGTCCTTGCCATTAGGGTCGTATTTTCAGTGCTTGAAATCATACTCAAGTCCTGTCTTGAGCATTGAGTAGAGTTCTAGAATACGACCCTCAGATTGTTTTAGTTGACAAAAGTTAAAGTATATAATAGGTATATTATATAGTTATACAGCATTAGGTATAATGTAGGTATTTATAATAATCATGAGTAGGTGATGAGTGTAATAATTTCATCGAAGCTTTCTTGGCGTCTATTGTAATTGCACAATCCTCAAACGGAATTATCGGGTATTCCTCACTTAATATATTGTGTATGCACATAATTTTAAAGTAGCTTAGGATGACAAAGCCCAAATTCAGTCGAAAAGGGCCCAAATTTGCTCAATAAAAAATTATTGAGGTCTAAAATCATTATGTTAAGTCTGTGGGAACAATGTTCAATATTAATTGTAAAATTTAGCACGTGCAAAATGTGCAGAACTGAAAAGATTCAAAAATATGAGCGAATGCAGCGCTTTGGTGGCGAAACGACATTCTGCCTAATTCTGCCAGTTTCAAATATCTATCAAACCTTGTGACTAAAAAACGAGCATCTTTAATAGCAACAACGATATCTATAGTGTACATACTAGCGTTAAAGCAACGTTACTGGAGCTAACCTAGTGCCAGTAGCGGCTATAAAATAAACTCAATAAAGAGCTGCAAAAGAGTGCGAGTGACGTAGGTATTCGGGAACCAGCTTAAGCGAGAGGAGTTACAGGTAGCACTATTTTAGCGTTTACTCTGTATATCTGTACAAAGCCTAGTAAGGTAGCTCGGTCTACACGTTCTAGCTTCACCTTGAATAATCTTGCCCAGTACGAGTTCGTATATATACATGTATGTGTGTGTGTGACTGTGTGTAAGGGCAAACTGCAAGTCCCTTGATCCCTATTATACATATAGGTACGTCATGCGGCACCCCTAGCACGCAGCTGTTACGAGTGACCGTTGCTTTCTCACACAAAATTAATGTCGTGTACATAATTTGCACGAAGGACATGAATGTCCAGTTACTCGATCGAGCTTCACTGGCAGTATGTGAACGTTTCACATAATTATTCCCGGTGAAACTCGCTCGACCTTGTATTCCCATAGGAATTTGGTGAGTGTTTGTACTGTTCAATTCACAATTTAATATTTTTATCAAATACAAGACAGTGAACCAATAATATTCAACGGTAGGTATTATTATTCTGTAATCTGTGGTTTTATCAAAAAAATTGATGATGTTATTACTTTTTCACGACACCATAATTTTGAGGAAAATAAACACTGAATCTACTAGGATTTGGTATTTGACCTATTTAAAGTATGTACATACCTTAATGAATAATATGAAATGTAATATAATATGTCTAAAATAACTGTTATTCTTGTTTATTTAAATCGAAGCGCCTGGCTTTAAGCGTCTCATCTACGCACACCCTAATTAACTTTCACTTTTAGACTGAGCTACATTACAATATTAATTTTTCATGCAAAGTAAAAACATGGAAAAGTGTGCCATAAAATGGCAACACTGTTGCTAGGATACCGAGCGTTTTTCTATTGGAGGACGAAAACATCCGAACAGCAGCCGAACGTTTGATTAGGTCACGTGGTACTTTTGAGTCTTCGTGGCGTAGCTTGTTCAGCTGCTCGTCGAAGCGGCTGTCGGACGGTTGTCTCTCAGCGAGTCTGCGTACGATGTAGCGGCCATTTTTGTTCTTGGTTCATAATAACGTGCGCCTATTTATGTATTTATACGGATATTTAGGAAATTTTCACGATGACTATTATAGTCTTTCTGATAGATACATCAGCTTCTATGAACCAAAGGGCTTATTTGGGCGGACGCCCAACATTGCTCGATGTAGCCAAGGGCGCTGTGGAAACGTTCGTAAAGGTAGGTGCAGTGTCATCGACTCTTTGAAGTCTAGTTTTTGTGAGTGTTTCGTTTTTAGAGTGCTAATGTGTGAAAATGGTTACTTCCTAGGTTCGTCAACGTTCTCCTGAGAGCAGAGGTGACAGATATATGCTTCTAACTTTCGAAGAGCCTCCCGCGAACATCAAGGTTAGTGTAGCAAAGTGAACACGTTTTTGACGAATTTCCTGTAGTGTAGTAGCATAGGCTGGCATATTTAAGCCGGTTCTGCAGTGTCCTCAATTGAAGCACTATAATCTGCAATCCAAAACATTTACATATTTTGAACGTGCGAAATTTACTGAAATAGACAGCACGACGTAAACAGGACGAGCCGCCGCCGTTGCTGCCTTGCCTTGCCTTCGCGATAGCGCTCACGACTGCGCGCTCGTCGCACTCTCATTGGCTAAGCCGGCTCACATAGCGAAATGGCGGTTTTGGGGGGAAATACAAACATTGCGCATTGATGTTTAGTTTGCGGTAGCAGAGTGCCCCAACTCCTACTGTATCTCAGAACAATTAATTCCAGTTACTTTCTTATAAGCCATATTACAACAATTGATATTACTTGCCAACATTGACAACTCAGTATAATTCATGACTCCACAACTAACTTGCAAATAATTTCATTCCAAGGCTGGAAGCATTAGCTATTTGGCTAAAACCGAAATATTAAAGTTGGTTTTGACTTCTTACTTTGTACAAAAACATGTAAAACATTTCTGGTATGCAGGGCAATGTATAATATGTAACAAATAGACCTGTCACTGTTTAATTAATAGCATATTGTTTCTTTTTTATTTGATTGATTGTTGAGCTTGTGAAAAATGCCATCTAGGCTTTGATTGTTCACTTATATATTTTTATTATCTTCTATATTAGTACAAGTATAGGTTGCAGATGACACATTACAGTTTATATTACGGTTTTTTTATTATATTATCAAAATATAATCCACAATTTTATGAAATGAATTCCATTTAATCTATTTTCCAGGCCGGTTGGAAAGAAAACTTGGCAACCTTCATAAATGAGCTCAAAAACTTGCAATGCCTTGGTTTGACTACTATGGGTGCAGCTCTAAAGCATGCTTTTGATGTTTTGAACATAAATCGAATGCAAACAGGCATAGACACTTATGGCCAAGGAAGATGCCCATTTTACTTGGAACCCTCTGTCATAGTCGTTATTACAGATGGTGGGAAGCTTTCTAGCAATGCTGGTATTCAGGAAGAAGTAAGTATAATTTTATTATAAGTATTGTTTTCAATACGACACCCAGAAACTTTTAAAAATGTTTCCTTTATATTCTACTGGTGAAAATATTTTTTTTTTCAATAACACTAAGTTTTGAAATGGTTCATCATTCTGCGTTACAAGTAGGTCAATGATTACAAATAAATTAATCATTTCTTTCTTTTTTATTAAATGTAGGTTGATCTTTTTATCTAATAATCTGAAAAAAAAAATCAAGGTTAATCTTATTATCTATGAACAGATAGATCACTGATCAAAATGATATCTATACTCTCTCTTGAGCCTTTTGTGCCCAACAGTGGGATGTATGGGGTAATGGTGACTCATGGTTGTTGCCATGCCATAAGCATAAAAATACCATATTTGATGTTTGTTTACATTCATGGGAGAAATGTTTGTATGGCCTACATTTATTTCTCTCGTGAGTTTGGGTGTAATTTGTGGTTGTCTATATGTGTGTCCATGGCACCCGCGACACAGGGTTTCCCTAGTGCGGGGCTATGTTGAGTGTGTGCGTTATTTATTATTTATTATTATTTATGTAATTCAATTGTTTTTTTTTCTGCTGTATGTTATGACATCATACATTATGATTCATTATCAATTTGCACATCTTATATTTTTGGTGTTTACAATAATAAAGTTTCTTAATTCAAGAAACAATAAATCTAAAATAACTTGTTTCAAAGAAGGATATTATTGTTCAAAATACATTCAGCCAGATATTATCGGCGTGATAAGGTTACTGCGCCATGAATAATTTAATTACATAGCTATAAATTACACAATTTTATCACAATTTTTTTTTGTTTCTCTAATATGATCAGTTAAATTAATTGATGGATGTGAGGGAATCTATTCAAGAGTATTTTGCCATCTGAATGAAATTATCGTACAAGTAATTGTAACATGGAGTATAAATACAAGCAAAAACAATAACATTAACACGCTTTCACTATCTTATCTTTCTTTGTTGTGGTTTTGGCTAGTTGATTATTGCAATGTAGTTTGTTTTATATTTTTTTTTCAGAAGAACAATATTGTCTCCTGACTTTAATTTACAATTTTGAATTGAAGTGCTTTCGGGGACAATGATCATGTACTTTTTCAACCTCAAATCATGTTTTGTTATGTAGTGTTTGGATATTTGGATGTTTTCAATTCTAAAGTTCACTTTTCTCGTGAATTTCTGATGCAATATGAAGGCAGTTTCTTAAAAAGTGTTTTTTCTTCTAAATCCCGGGAGATCCGGAGCTAAAAGAAAAAATATTTAAGACAAAGTGACAGCATATAAAGTTTTCATAAATTTATGTTGGTACTAGCACTATATGAAAGCAATCCATTTAATTACAAAAAAGAAAAACAAATAATAAAACACAATAATAATAAACTTATGCATCTCATAAAACATTTAGACGAAAACCAGTCGTAAAATATAATATTTTGTTCCTAACTGAAATAACGCCTCCTACATTTATTTCTCTCGTGAGTGTGGGTGTAATTTGTCGTTGTCTATAAGGGTGTCCCGAAACATTTCTTTTTTGTTTTCCCCAAGACCTCTTGAAATTTGTGTAATCGATCATAGATTACGAGAATAATTTAAAAAATTAAATAAAACTATATCTTTAGGGCTCTACAAATCTTCAAAGTTTAAAAAAAATTATTTTTAGGCGACAATTCGCTAACCTTTAATTTCGGTTTCTGAACTAAATATGAAAAATATTTACTTTTTGTTCTATTTAGGTGTAATACATACACACAACGTTCCGTTTTGCATGCAACGACACGTTACCAGCGACTTCGAATTTGCAGGTTTCAACCTGCAAATTCCTTCGAGATTCAACTTGTTTCGAGGACTTTCTTAACTTGACTCGCGAGTGTTTTACTTGTACCCAAAGTAATTTTTAAGCTATAAAAGTACAGATGCGATTGTTACAGTGTTAAAAGTGAACTTTATGATTTTTAAATAATGAGTTCGAGGCGTAGTGAGACTACTTGTGCCACACTTGGACCATACAAAGAACTTGACGATCGGCAGCTACCAACTATAAGTGACGTCATTAAATTTATTTTATTTATTAAGAACGACCTGAAATTGAAGTATAATGGGAAAGATCCATCCAATTCAGATATATATGCTATTGTTTATGAAGAGATCAACAAAATTTGGACTAAAACTTCGATTCCAATCGTAACTAAGGAACGAGTTATTCAGTTATTGAAATCTTATTTTGAAAAGTACCTCAATTTGAAAATATACCCCAAAATCAAACGAAATGATAGTTATGAAAACCAACTGAAGTGTTTTTTAGAGTTATCTGAGAGGCTTTTCGACGTTGCTGCTTGTAAATGCATTTCGTTTGAATCTTGTTCGTGTTAAAATCTAAGAAAGTTCCCATCAATGAGAGAAGTTTCTTGTTGGATCAAAGAAATGACAGGAAAATGGTTATAGGCGGTGTTACAAGAAAGAAACAGCTAAATTAAAGAAACGACTGCAGAGACAAGCTAAAGAGTCAATAAGGGCAGCAAGAAAGTGTATTCAAGAAACTGATTCGATTTCAGCAAATTGTGAAGGTTTGGTGTGTGAATCATACGTGTCTAATGACAGAGACATCCCCGATAAACACTCTCGACAGAGATACCATCGATTTCAACAGCGAATCGGAATACATTACCGTTGCCAACAGTTGCTAAGGTTTGTAATAGATACGGTTTATCGTCACGATCTGCTGCTGCTGTTGCTTCTGCAGTTTTGGTTGACGTTGGCTTGGTTTCTATCGAAGATTTAACTCTGGTTATTGATAAAAACAAGATCCACAGAGCAGTATCTAAAGCCTGAACAGAAGCTTCAAAAGATATTGGAGGTATTGTTATAAAAAGCATTTACTTTGATGGACGAAAGAACAAGACTCTGATAAATGAGAAAATAGGGGATCGTTACCATCGCAAAGAAGTTTTAGAAGAGCACATCTCAATTTTAGCACAACCTGGATCAATTTATTTGAGACACACAACGCCAAGTCGAGGCACTGCAAAGGGAATTTTTACTTCGATCACAACTTTATTAGAGGGTCAAGGTTGGAATTTAGATGACGTGATCTGCGTTGGATGTGACGGAACAGCAACCAACACCGGTTGGAAGGGTGGCGTGATACAATACGTAGAGGAGTATTTGGAGAGACCGTTACAATGGCGTATTTATATGCTTCTTGCCAATGAGTCACCACTTCGTCATTTATTCTTGACCTTAGATGGTTGCACTTCGGGTCCTAGAGAATATTCCGGACCTATTGGAAAACAATTAGCTGATTGTGAAAATAAAACCGCGGTGTCTTTTCGTGCAGTGGCTGGTAATTTGCCAGACTTGCCGAAAAATGTGGTCGATGAACTAAGTACGGTTCAAAAGGATCTTTATGAGATATGTCAAGCTGTATCAACTGGTTCCTGTACTCTTGAGCTGGCAAACCTTAAACCTGGAAAAATGGCACACTCGAGATGGCTTACTTCTGCTAATCGTATACTCAGACTTTATATAAGTACTCTTAATCTATCAGAAAATTTGCAATTTCTCGTTAACTACGTGGTTAAAGTATACGCTCCGATTTGGTTTCTAATCAAGCATAAGGCGTCTTTTAAAGACTGAGCCAAGAATATTTTTCAACTGATTATGTTCTCTCGATTCTTACCCGTAAGTCTGAGATCTGTTGTGGATTCTATTATCGAAATAGCTTTTTTTGCGCACCCAGAAAACCTACAAGTCAGTATGTTGTTTGATGATAGAGATTGCATTCGGGAGCTGGCATTGCGAAGAATAATAAAAGCCAGAGAAGCTGAAAATAGCACTAAACGCAGAATATTTAAACCACCAAAAATTTACTTCTCTGCTAAAGATTACACCGAAATTATTGTGTGGCACGAGTGTCAGCGTCAGTGAGAGTTACAGCACCACAGATGTTTCGACATATTTCTATTGAAGACCTTCAAATTATGACAAAAGTTTGGGAATTGTTGACTTTCCTTGTCACACACAATCTGTCGAAAGATGTGATAAACTGGTAACAGAGGCTCACAAAATGTAACTGTCGTTACTTCTAGAGATGGTTTTGTGAACCAGATTGCAATCTCGAGCAGAAATGCCAAATTTCGGATACAAAAATAGGTTTAAATTTTTTCTTTAATTTTTTTTAATTTTCATTGATCATAAGATCATTTGGTTCTATTGTGCTTCGTTTCATTTATTTTAATAATAAAATATCTTTTAAACTAAATTGTTTTGTTAATTTATGCTACGGTTTAGGTCTGTAAAAATGAAAATCTACAAAACTTCAAAATACGGTAGAAGCCTCAAGATGACACGCAATTCTATTTTTTTACCTTTTTCGTAATCTGTGGAAGATTACGCAAATTTTGATGCCACTTCCAATTGAGTAGCTCGAAAAAAAAAATTTCTCATACTTTGACGGGACACCCTGTTGTCTATGTGTGTGTCCAGTGTGTTGCGTTATAACATGGTCATAACCCACGCCCTCATAGCCCCGCACTAGGAAGACCCTGTAATGCGGGTGCCATGGACACACCAATAAACGACTACAAATAACACACAAACTCACTAGAGAAATAAATATACACCATACAAATATTTCTACCGGCCTGGGAATCAAACCCGGGACCTTTGCGTGGCAGCCCAGCCATATAGTAACCGTTCAGCCACGGAAACAGTAAAATAAGCTATAATGTAGGTATTAAAATTGCGAAAGGAATAGACTTGATAAACTAATTTTATACATTGTGTTACTAGGTGTACATACTATAAGATAAGGAAACAATTTCATTTTTATCTCTATTCAAAAGACATTACTCTGATGATAGACCAGAAAACAGCTTAGTTGGTAAACGTAATGTACTGACAATGGCACATCAGACTACACATTTTTGTTCGAAAATCGCCTCCATTGCAACGGAACAAAATACGTCAATGTGTAGCTTGATGTGCTGGCGTGTGTACATACACTGTAATAATGTAAAAGGTTTATTCAATTTTTCATTAATTCATTATCATCAGCCACTGAGATGAATATAGGCGGTTCCTAATGCACGCTACTAAGCCTAATTTTGCTTCGATTGTTTGGATTTTACTTGTCATAATGAAGTAGGTTACCTATTCAGTGAACTAAGTTGTTAAAATAGTCTCTATTTACTGAATATTTTGAATTTTTTTTTATTTACCATAAAAAATTATGATAATTGATTGGATTGCTTACAAAATGACTGAACCAAATAGCACCTGAGTCTAGGGAATAACTTAAGGTTGTTACTTACTGGTTACTTTAAACATAATATTCTTTTGTTTTACAGTTCAATCTGCCTATGAATTGCCCTATACCAGGCTCTGAATTGACCCGGGAACCGTTCCGATGGGACCAGAGGCTTTTCTCTCTTGTGTTGCGATTGGCGGGTACTCCGGCGGTAGAGAGAGACACTGGCCTAGTTCCATCTGATTCTTCTCCTATTGATGCTATGTGTGAAGTTACTGGCGGTAAGAATGAAAAAGCATACTTTTTTGTTTATTAAAGTTAGCATAACGTACTTTATTGTTTTATTATTCACAAAAAAAAATTTTGATTTTTATTCCAATTTTTAACAAGAACAAATAAATGGTTGAACGAATACCTCGAAAAAGTTTCTACAACCAGTTGATATTGAATTATCATTATTAACAAGTGCTTGAAAATTCCGTTGTTGAAGTTTATGCTTAAAAGTGATTTCATATTAACGGAGAATGGTGTAAGCCTATCGAAAACCAGTATTACCAGTTCCTGAGATGCAGTAGGTACATTTAATGCCAAGGTATTTGCTCTTAATATAAATTTAATCTTTATTTAGTATTTAAATAAACCCTTCTTTTTATTTGTCATTGGCTACACGCAGAAAATTAATAACTTTAATTGCTTGTGCAGAAATAATCCGATGCTTTAATCATCTCAAATTCCTACATTTTTGCTATATACTATACCTGCGAAATGTTGTATGTTTGATTTTATGAATTACCTTTTCTAACTTAATGATTTGTTATTTCGGCCTAATAACGTCCAGTTTATTTAGGACCTAGAATCCTTTTTCTGTTAGAGATTGGAATGTTGACTTTATAGGTGATTGCCATGTCTTCTCACGGTTCATGGTATAATATCTAATATACCCCAACTTTTTGAGGTTGAGTTGGAAAACCTTATTATGAGTGGAAAAGGGATTATGTTTAAATGAAGTAATCTTTAGCATGTGCTAACCAGGAAGCATTCACTTGTAATAAGCAATTTATCATTGGTGTGGCCAGCGTAAACAACGAATATTCGGTTCGCACAATTGTTCGTTAATAATGATATAAACTAGTAGTAGTTGTCATTATAATAGTCGTGTACTCCCACTGTTAAAAACAACATTGTTGTTCTTGGTTAATTTGTAAACGGAAGGTTTCATGTCTAAATAATAACAATAATAATAATAATGTGCCAGACAACCACACTAATTCGAAGTCCCTGTACTATGAGCACTAGAACAATGCACTCTGAGGAAGTACCCGGAATAGCCAGACCAGCAGTCGATTCAGAACTCTTCGGTATTTTAATCGAATCATTCGATTGGATATCATTCTCGGAACAAATTTAGAAAAAAATATTTCCTAAATTGGAGCTACCTGCAATCTAACTCGGGACATACTTATACAGCGCACACAGTGCAGTATATGCATGTTTGCATTCAATATGGTCCTTGCCATGTGATCAGCGAAGCATGTACAACATACACTGATACATAAACAAAAAATGAGATATTGAATATTATAAATTATGCAATGAAGTACCACTAACATTTTTGTTGCCCAGACATTTACCACTGTTGACCTCATCATTACTTTCCTTTTTAAAATATCATCCATGAATAAAGTCATTTCGACTGTAGTGTAAAAAAAGGAAATGAATAATAAAATAAAACACATTAACATCAATGAGAACACCACGAAGCTTAGGGAACACGTCAAATCGGTCGATGACTCAGCCATAGAGAACTATGAAGTACAAAATCCCTCCTTGATATTCTGCAATGGTTAAAAAATTAAACATCCTCTTGAGCAAAAACGAAGTTTAAAATTCTTTAATAATATTCTCCTTTATTATTAATAGTATTTATTATTTTGGATATCTATTTTACACTCGCTTCTCTCATGGTCTAAAAGATTAATTTTGACAATGGCAGCAGAACCAGGAATTCGGGCTCAAGAACTGGCGAATAATACGTATCGTATCGAGCTGGACCCCTTCTGCATTTATGCTGAAAGCGACAAGCTACAGAAATCTAAGTGCGTCAAGCTGTTAGTGAGGCTGACTGGAATGAACCCATTTGCAGACAAAACAGTTGGAAATATTTCATTGGAGGCTACTACATTTCACCATTTATCGTTAAATAAAGATCATTTTTGTTTTAGGTCGCTCCTATTGCATCACATCACATCGTATGTTGATGCAATGCATCGACAGTCTAGTTCAGAAGGTGCAGAGTGGTGTCGTGATCAATTTCGAAAAGATAGGACCGGACCCACCGCCTATTGATGGGAGTAACAGTCGGGATGGAGGGGAACAGACCGATGAGATAAACCATGATGGTGAAAAAGATTTGGACGGCGATGGTGATAAAAATGGGGTGAGTGAACTTATATCTACTAATAGGAAATGAAACTATTTTTCCGGATTTAAATCGCGTATATGTGTTTTTTCGAACAAACCGACGTTTCGGGCCTTTTACAGTTCCCATGGTCACGGTTGACTGTTTAAACGGTGTTTTGACGGTTGAGTGTTTGGTTGGCGATTTAAATCCGGAAAAATAGTTTCATTTCCTATGTGTCACAATCGCGAAAACCTAAGAACTCGTTATATCTACTAACTTATTTGAAGTGTTTATTTATAAAGTACTACCACATCGTACATTAGAACATTTAAACATACAACATACGGTATTCTACATACATACATCTGATATTATGACAATTATGGTGTACGTAGCGTTTACAATAAATGGGTTAATAAAATAAAATTATATAAGCTTAAATTATTTAAGTTATTAAAGTTTTTTGCGATTTCTGACATTTCGAGTACTCTTACCTCAGTTGGTCTATTAGAGACTTATTAATCCTTACCAAAGACAGAATCGAATGGCATAAAAAGTTTTGTAAAATTGTCTTTTATCTTGCTGACTGTACCATTTTTTCAAAACTGAATGCCAATCAAAATGTCTTCAAAATTCTTGGATAGTCTAGAAACGATTTCCTGTAACTACAACGATTAAGGTAGCTGGCCTTACTGGCCCGTCTCAAATTCACACCCTGTATAATTATTCATATACATACATATATATAATCTCTGATCATAAAAATAATCAGAGATCGGTATTGACACAGTATATTTACCATAACTTCAGGTACATGGAGTGTAGTTAAACCTCCTTCAGAAATCTTGGAATGATTAAAAATAAAACACAAAAAATCGAATTAAATATATTTTTACTTAAAATTGTAAAACTTTTCTTGTAAAAATGTCATAGTTATTAGTTACTACTTTAATTTCGTTGCTGTGGTACTCATAGTACTGGGAAGCATGGTTTGAGACCAGATAAGTAGTGTTATTTTCGGGATCATTATAATTTTTTATCCTTATTGTTTGCCAATAAATATAAATCATGAGAATTGTAAATAAAAACAATTTGTTTCTTTCGTTCTTAAACCAATACCTTTTAATACTAAATTGCTTCCATCGGATATATCCTGTAGATTTAAAAATAGCTCCGCCCAACCTTTTCGCTTTTGACCTTTCCGCGAATCATCGCCTGTGTTACTAAGCGCAAAATCAATAACACGTCGTAAATTGTACAACTACATAATACGATTCACAACTGCATTACCAACACGCACAAGGCTTTACGAAATATTCATATGTAAATTGCCAACAATTACTACAAAATTGCCTTAATTCATTTTAGTATTAGTTGGACATTAGTTCTCGAGGTTGAATTGAAAATGTTTTAACTTTTTCGTTGGTGTATGACATGTAACATTTGTGCAGAACAGAAATTGTCGACAACCAACGACACCAACTATTTGGTCTCACATTAAGATTTTGCCCTTTAATATGAGTACCAGATTAACGGCGGCTTCGGGAGTTACTTAAAACACTCGGACCAGAACTAATTTAGAAAACATTGTGTCCTAAATTTGTCCATTGGCTCTACCGAGAATCGAGCCCGGGACCTCACCATATGTATAAGGCCGCCGAGTTCGTTCAATAGGTTAATTACTTTTAGTATTACATTTTAAATCTTTATTTTTGTGTAATTTCTTGCTCATAATATCACAGGACAATTCTATGTTAATTTCTTGGGCGTTAGATTATTTTATAGCTGACAGCCAGACGACTAAGAAACGTACATAAAGTTTCCTATATTAACCATAAATACTAATTAGTATTGCATGTGCCATGAAATGACGCTAATGTTCAATATTCAATGTGTGAAACAGTATTCGACTTCAAACTCAAGCAATTTTTTTTAATTATTTTAAAATCATCGTATAAATTCGTCACGAATAGACGTAATAAACAATTTTGATGGAAATAAGCTTAGCGTGTTCTATCTTGTGATGGAACTCATTCATTTTCGTCAAAATTGTAAGTTACGTCCACGAGATTCAATTTATATTGCCGCGGAACTTAATGGAAGTGGATTTTTGTAACCATAGCATAATACACTTTATGTCAATTGTGTAACATATAAACTAGATGCGAGTCAAAAAAAATAGGTCGAGCGTCTTCCGAAGAATTCTTGCAGTGTCAATTGATTTAAAGTTCATTGTGCTATGTACAATTTCGTTACAAAAAATTCCCTCCCATCCCGTTCCGTGGTAATGTAAATTGAGCCTTAATCTTGTAAGGAACGATATCGTACCCTCAATAATAAAGTGACGTAAACCGAAAACCATGTTTTGTGAAACAGACAAAAATTATTTAAAAAATGTGACGTAGTAGGTGATGACTTGATGAGCCATGGGCCATGGACCGTTTTGACATACTTTTTATTACTCATTTATTTTAACCTGATTTTTTCTCTATTTATTTTCTTTGTATTTTTTGTTTTATGAAGGAATAATGTAATTTTCTAAAATAGTTAATTTGTAATTGATGTATACGTCAAATAAAGCAGAGTTTATTTTTATTTTATTTACTAGCTATTATATCGTCGTCTTGGAGTGAATAGCTCGAATGTGATTTCTACGTAATATTTCTGGACAAATATAAAAGTGTGATGAAACAAATATAGTAAACATAATGTGTTTGCATGTTTTGCATGTACTTAGCATTTTAATTAGTTTAAATATTATACCTTCTTCGGATGCTATGTTTCCTTTATAATAATAGCCAAGAGCATAACAAGTTTTGCTTCAACGAAAATCAGTATAAACATACTGTAAAAGTGCGTATCTGAGGTTTTCACACTAAAACGCGCCGTTTGCCTGGTGCCGTTTATGACTAAATCCCATTAAATTTATTTATTAACAGTTTTCCAAAAATGTTACTTTACGAATTACACCATTTTATTAATGAGAGTGCCATGTATATCTATGTATTTTTATTATCTCACTACAGCGCTGGAACGGCGGACAGTATCAAGCCTCCATGGGTACGAATCAAGGCCAAGGGGCAAGCGCTCCTCAGGCGTGGCACTCGTGTCGACGTCTCATTTACGTGCCGAGAACTGTATCACAAAAGGGCTTCGCCGTCGGTTTCTGGCCTATACCTGAATCATTTAGGCCGGATCCTAACGCTCCTACACTGGTAAGTTAATGTTACTAAACCAAAGGACTACGTTGTGTATACAGAAATGGTAAGTATACAAATAATACATGAGAAGTCATAAGTTGAATGTAAAATTTGTGTACTGTAATAATAATATTAAAAGTCTAATAGAAAAGAAGGGCTGACAGGTCGCTTTAGACATTTTAATTTTACTTATTTTTGTTAGTAAAAAATTATTTAGTAGTGGACGTGCAGTGGTTAAGATTACACACAAAAATATTAATAGTCTTTGTTTTCAAGAGTTTGTAAAAATATATTTAGTATTATAGCTCCACTTTTGTGACTATGCACGTACGGGCAACAGCACGTGTTTTAAAGATTTCATTTCGACTCTACGGCACTTACGATAAGACGATTGGAAGCTTAAACTCGGCGTACTATTTTGAATATCTTTCGTGCATAGACTAAATCCAAATTTCATATTCTCGTCATTTCGCTTAAGTTCAAATGAATTCAATTTCTGTTACTGAGAAAAGCAACGATTGACTTGAAGTCATTTTGTATTGACGACATTTCGTTGTTTTTAATTAATTTATTCATCATCCTTTAATTATTTCAACCTGTATTTTCAGCCTCCTCGTTCAGCTCACCCGGTGGTGAAATTCACGTGTTCAAGCCAAGAGCCTATGGTGATTGACAATTTGCCTTTCGATAAGTACGAGCTCGAGCCTAGTCCGCTTACGCAGTTCATATTGGCACGGAAACAACCTACTATTTGCTGGCAGGTTTGTGAAGTATCTTGTTTTTTTTGTGATTACAAGTTTGCGTCTTAATACGTAGTCTAACCGTGCCCTT